ATTTTAGGTGATACAATCTATTGCAAAATATAATTGGTGAACATAAAATATATTAGTAGTTGAATGTAAACAAGTCTCTACTGGTTACCTCATATATTTCAATAATGTTATTGATAATTGAAAAAATTGATTGGTACCTCATATCCATTTCACTTTTTTAATTGGGCTAACTTACAAATTATGTTCTATGAAGTTAATAAGATATAAGCAACAAGTTTTCAGATAGTAAAAAAGTTACTATTTATTCAAGCTGAGGTCTTTCTTTTTTATTATCCTAATCAAGCAAAGTTCAAGATTAAGGTCTCCTTTTTATCCTGATTAAATAATAAGATTGAATGATTTCTAGTTTATGCTAAGCTCCAATATTTTGATTATAGTTGAAAATGTATTTTTCCAAAAGTTGTTGAAGAATATTATAATCGATAAAAATTTTCATTACTTTTAAGACCCTCTCATTATTACAAAACAAAAGAATTATTGAGAAATCTGGTCTTTTGAGTAATAAAAGATATACATATATCAGTAAAATTTCTTTAACTAGATATAGCTACCGAAAGATATCATATTGAAACAACATGACCTAGTTTCTACTAGGTCACATAAGAATCTAGGATTCATTATAAGTTACCTTTTTACCATAGGTAAATAAAAAATTATTATCCAAAGAAGGTTGGGATTAAGTGTATCTTGAAAATAAAGGCTTCTATTAAGTGATAAGTCTTCTCAAATAGTATATAAGAAGAAAATCAAGATTAAGAATAAATAAATTTTTCAGATGATTAAGAAAAAAAAGAATATTCCAATCAGATATTTCTTATTGAGAAGAGGTTTTAAGAAGTAGATCTTTGGAGAAAGCTAAAAATTTTTTTTCAATTTTTATCTTTTCATTTTTTTGTTGTCTATTTAGATATTTTTAGATATTATCTTTTTCTTTTTTTCAACCTATCTTTTTGTAGTTTCCTATATTTCAGTGACTTGATCAGATATACGATAGTAACAATCTGTTGGTAATAATGTAGCGAACTAGGAGGATTTTTACTTAAAGATACTACAAAGTGAAATATTGTTCCTAAGGTTGAATTTAGAGGTTTTTATATTTATGAGAGTTAGTTAAATTAGAATAATAGTTTGGCTATAATATATATTATGCTACTTAAATAAAAATGTACTTATATTTTCAATTAAATTTAATTTTATTAATTTTTAAATTTTTAATTATTATTATTATTTTTATTTTTAATCCATCATCTTTTAAATTCTTAATTATATAATCAAAAATTATAAAATTTATATATATTATATCTTAATATTAATTTTATTTTTTATATATTTTTTCAAAAAATTTTATATATAAAAAAACTTTTTCCACTAATCCTTTAACCATACATAAAAAAGATGTTTGCAAGAAATTTTTATACTTTCTTACTAATAAAATCTTAACACTTTCTTTAAAACAACTTGAAGTATGACTTCAAAAGTCATTTTTACTTTTTCCTTATTGTTTACAAACCTCTTTACTCAAAAATTTGATTTGAGAAAAAACTGAAATGAAACAAGAACCTTTTGAAGGGTTTTGAATTGTATTTCCTTTTTTCCTTTTTTTTTCAGTGTCAACTTTAGCAATTCATTATTTTTGGGGATAATTAATAGTAATAAACTATTGACAATGATCCTGATTAACTTAGAGACTAATGCCAAGCTACTAGGAGAGTGTAATATTGTTCTCAAAATCCAATTTAGAGTATCTAATGAATTTCTCAGTAGTGTAGTTCTTTAATTAATAATGTACAATAATGAGTTAGTCACTCTATAATAGTTTGTAAACATTGTGGTATTTTTCAATATCTCAATAAAGATATGCTATTGCAATATGATTGTGGATTAAAAAAAAAAAAAAAATTTATATACAGTATATAATTTTTAAAGTTTTATTATTATTAAAAAAAATTTTTTTTCTTTATTAAATTTTGTTTTTAAATGACTTTAATTGATTGTTATTATTAAAAAAAATATAGCAAGTATTAAGATATAATATATTATATATAAATTTTATAATTTTTGATTGGATAATTAGAGATTTAAAAATTAATAAAGTTAAAATTTATAATAAAAATATAATAAATTAATTAAAACTTTTAAAACTAGATATTTATTTTTAAAGATAAAAATATTAAATATATGTAATTTTTTCAAATTCTACTTTTAAACAATAACTTTAGGATCACAATTTTAATGTCAGAAAATTTCTTCAAAAATAATTACTCAACTGTATAATATAAGTACAGTATAGAAATTGGTTGTACCATTGATGTATGTAAAATGTATGACGTTATAAAGTAACGAATTCATGTGAAAAACGGACCATTATAAGCTGAATAATTTCAGACAAAAAAACATATCGCGACATTAAAAAAACCCCCGAGATATATAGATTGTATCGTTTTTCAGAGATGCGTAGATAGCACCGTCTTTTTTCACATGAAATTAGTAAAAAATTTTTATGGTCTACTGTGTATTTGTGTATTATATACAAAGTCACATGTAAAGGTATTTGTGTCCTCATAAGGTGCAATTTTGATTTTCTTTGCTCGAAGTTTTGTAAATATGATAGAACTAGGGAAATTAAAGTGAATGCAAAGTCTGTTTCTAGGACACATTAAGTTGGATTCTCCGATTTTTTCAATTCCTAATTTTTATATATGTATATACAGTGTATATTCAATAATCTGAGTGTGAAACTTTATTAATAATTATCAATTGTTTTTTTAAGTCTTAAGTCTTGGATCTTTAAATATTTCAATGACTTCAAAACTTTCTTAGATTATGATCAGGTAACAAATATCTAACTTTAGATGACGGGAATTAAAAATGAGAAATTTCTTCTTATTTTGCTTTTCCACCAAGGTGTCCACTCTTGTTCACGTCACCATCAAAATATTTTTGAAAAAATTCCTCCCAATCATCTCCCAACATAGAAATTCTATCCCTTACACCATTTTTTACTTGAGCCCAAACGCGCGATGTTCGGAATACTCTCCGGGTATCATCATATAGCGTAAGAACATATGAGGTGCAGAATATAAAACAGACGGTCGTTATGCAGAATAAATATATCACCGTAAGAGAAGCAACTTGTACTACGGTCGAGGAGAGTATGCGGCGTGGTATGTTTAGAGGGAGGCGCAGAGTAGAGGTAAAGCCTTTTGATGAATTATTATCTCTTCTAATATTGTTTCGAGTAGTGGTGGTTGCGGCAGCAAAGTTTTCGTTGCTTTGCGTCTGTGACGATGATACAGAGTAATGTTGGTCAAATGACGAACGAAACGAAGTTCCCGGACTATAGTCTGTGTAGTCCATGTCATCGTAAGAGCCATAAGACGAAGGTGGTGGTGAACTTGTTCGGGGCGACATTGTCAATGTTTTTTTTTAGTGCTTCCGAAGGTTTTTCTTTTTCTGAAGTGTGAATGTAATTTCGTTTTGTGAGAAGCTAAGTAAATTTTTTATTTCTTTTTCCTCAAAGGTTTTATAATTAAAAAAAAAAAGATAGTCAAATAAAAAAATGATAAAATTTTAATAATAAATTTCGGTTCGAGTGTCTGAATTCGTACTTCAAAAAACAAAAGTAAATTGAGTCAAAAGGCTTCGGAAAAAAAGTGCATACACGAACTTTATAAATCAAGGGTCTGCTGCTGCAATATGTACACAGTAACTACAGCAACTGACGGTTGGTTGAGGAAAAAAAATTTTTTTTTTGTCTTTTTCTTTTTTTTTTCAGGCGTTTGTGCTGCAGAAGATTTCCAAAAATTATCAAAATCACAAGGGTTCGGAGCTCTCTGATGCCATCTTTTGGCTCACTTAAGATAATTGGCTGATTATAATTGTGAAGAGTGGCTTGGTGCTATACCCATTATACTCATCATATTTATATTCTACATGTATATTTTGTACTTATTACTTCATTGTTGTTTGGCAATAAGACCTTTTCTTGTCACTTGTTCGGGACCTGCGCGTGGTCTTTATGTTAATAGCAACGTGAAGGTCTCCTCAGTATAGACAGGCAATTTGACACCCCTAACGGTGTTTTTACCCGAAAGGGTTTACACTCCCCCCCACTCACATCTGCCTATCCTCTTATCCACCCATGCACTGTGACCATTTATACTTTGTCGAGTCACTTTGATTGATCTTATATCAAAAATAGCAAATCGGCTCCTGATGATGTGACAAAAGTACCTCGCCACCCATGAATTTACCGAGCTGTCTCTCACCCGTTAGTCGGCATTGTCATAACAATACAATTTGTGCATTTTCGTATTTTCGCTCAAAAGGAGTAAATTTGCGCTTTTGTGTTTATTTACGAGTTTCACAAATCTACTCTTGGTAATCGTTTAATAAATAATTGTTTTTTCAAAATAAATATTTACGAGTAAGAATTATCCATCTAATTTATACCATATATTTAATAATAGGAATTGGTTCAATTGTTTCAATTAACATAATAAAAATTCGAATTCTTGATTCAATTTTATATTTCAGTTTATTAGTTAAAAAACAAATTAACTAAAGATTTATTGTAAAAGATTTCAAAATATTTGTATTAAAGCCTTTTAATTATAAGTATATTTTTTCAAAGTTTATATGAATCAATTCAAACAAAGTTCTTTACGTTTGTCAATTAATTTGTAAAATTGAAATCAAAATTGTTTATTTTGTTTTTTTTTTTTAATTCCCAATTATGTTAACACAATTAATTATTTTTCTTAATTAAGTTTATTAAGCTATTTCAAATTAAACAAATAAAATTTAATTGATACTTTAAGTTTAATTTAAAAATAAATGTTTTTTGACTTTTTTTTTGAATTTTATAAAAATATTTATAATTATAATTATACAAAATAATCAATTTTTATTAAGTTATATAAAAAGTATTTAACAATTATAAGTGATTTATATTATAATTTTTTTTTAACCAAAATTTAATTCAAATATAAAAACCATTTATTATTAAAAAGTAATTTACTTGACTATCTAAATTACAATTCTAATTATTTTAACATAATAAAATATTAGTAATATATATATTAAGAAAAAATTAAAAATTAAAAATTAAATAAAAAATTAAATATCTTATATATAGAATATATATATATATATATATATATATATTTTAACCAGCAATCAGGTTAGCATGGCGTGTCTTTATTGTATATATGCTAGGTATTTACAAATTGTTGTGACTATCACATACTGACTCACTCATTGTCGAAAAGTTATTTCTCTAAATGCAACCTAGGGAATGATATTTCGCTCCTTTACTAATTTGGATAAATCCTCTAAT